AAGTATTGTTTTAATTGCTAATAGATATATTTGTAATTCAGTTGTCATTATTAGCTTTTTCAAAGAGAATTTGCAATGTAACTGTGTAATCTATCTCTTGACATTGGTATCTTGTTAATGAGTTTTTAACAATGTAAAACCTTTTTACAGTCTTTGTCTTTTGTTTTTAGAGCCTTTTCCTCCATAAACAAATATTTACATATAATAAACTTTACATATCTTGCAAAAAAAATATATATACCCAGCTACTTTATAGTTATTTTCATACTACAACACAGGGTCTCAATATCAATAAATAGCTCAATGTGGGCTTCTATTTTTGTTTCTAATGATCCAGCCTCCCACAGTACTGGAACAACTGAGATTTCAGTATGTGCCACCATGCCCAGCAGAACTTCTGCACTTTTCCACATTACCCTAAACGTCCAAAGAACTGTTCAATCAGCACTTCAAATATTCAGATTCTTGAAGGCCACTGGTGTCCTATCAGCCTCTCACTTATGACCACCCATTGTTTGCCGGATGAAAGTGAGCAAAAGTCTCTGGCAAAGTCCCAGATTAGCCAGCTGAGAAATGCAAGGAGTCATCACTATACTTTAGGATTTCTGAAAAGATTATTTGTGGTACCGGATGAAAAGCTCCACTCCCATTGCTATTGTAGGGTGAGAGACACCAACGTAGGGATAGAATAAGGAAGCTTACATGAGTGCAGGAGAGAGAATAAAATTGCTTTGAGGGGCAGTTGAGGAACATGCACTTGATTCAAACAGCCATACATTTATGTACATAGAGAGAAAGTCTGAGACGGAGCTGCTGCTTACCACAGTCATGAGCCCATCTGGAATTCTGTTCTGAGCCCATGAACACATGTGCTAGCCCAACCCAGCAGCTCTTCTGTTCTAGACACAACTAGGGAGACCCAGGGGAGAGGTCAGTCCAAGCCTCCATCAAATGATCCCCTGTCTGGGGAAGCTCCACTGCCATCTCTGTGGCACTGCTTTGGAGGAATTTATTCTGCTTCTCAAAATAAATCTTGCTTTCAGTCTTAAACTTCGCTCTTTAGTTGGATCCTTGACTGAGAGCCCAGGCCTGAAATAAGACAAGGTTAGTGGTGTACCTCAGATACAAC